GGCTGCAAATACTTCTCCACCGCCGCCAGGTGAAAACGGACGTCGAGCGTACTGAAGACTCGCAACTCGCCGCAGATCCGACTCGTCGCGCTGCACTCTGCGCTGGGGCACTCGGATTACAGTGGGCGACGAAGGCTCATCATATTCACGGTATGCCCGCGAAGAGGATTCCGGTTCCCTGTAGTAGACTGGCTGCACTCTGCCAGGGGATTGGGCGGTCACGGCATCTACATCAGCAGGTACTGGCTGCAGCGCGCGACGTTTGCTGGGTTGGGTGTCTGGATAAGTGGCGAATAGCGGAGGTGACTGAGGTTCTTCTTTGATGTACGGTTCGGGAGAGCGAATGGGCGGCTTGTTGGCTTGCTGTTGCCGCTTCTTCTCCACTCGCTTCTCATCTCTTCGTCGTTTGCGAGGATTTGAGAGGGGAGGGGCCGGACCAGCTGGGCTGTGACGGCGGGATGAACTATACAGATATCAGCTTGCTATCCACCACAAAAAGATGCCTCGTAGGTCTTCTCCGTATCCCTGCTTGACATGCGAATAGCATGTCCACTTGTAATCTTGTCCTATCCCACCAGTCTACAGCTGCTGCGTACAGCAGGACAAGGTACAGAGAGATTGAGCTCATGTTCGACTGAGGGACAAGGGTGCCAAGAAGGACGGAGAAGACGGAAAGAGAGCCAGAACGGAAAAGAATGTGGACATGTCATACCCGTTTTGAGCGCCTCGGTCGCGCGCCCGACCTCTGCTGGGCTCATTGACACTGATATCAGCAGGAGGCGGCGAGTAATCTTCCTCCTCTGCATCGTCAAGCAATGTGGCAGGCTCAGGTTCGTAGATCTCAATATCATCGGCAGGTTCATAGGCCTCTTCATCAAGATCGATCACTGCTGGATGGGCAGGCCTGGCATTGACAAGCTGTTTAGCATGCGATGTGAGTGAACCTGCAAGATCAACATTGGTGTTCTGTTTGGGATCAACCTCCTCAGACGACCAGCTGTCTGCTTTGCTAGAGTAGTACGAGTTTTCGTCAAACGACTCGGCTCCGTCGCTGTTGTTAGTGGTAGATCGTATGCCAGATACCGGCGGCACGCGCAGCTGAGCTTGAATGAGACACTCCTCCACGTTCAAGTGGGCTTCTCGCTCATCCGTATCATTCCCGCGGCCCTTGCGATCAACCTGGTCCTTGATGGCACGTTCAATCTGCTGCCGCCTGAGCTGTAACTCGGCCCTGATCAGATGGTCAGACTTTGTAAGCAGGACCGGGTCGATGCTAGAGGACGCGGATACGGCGGAATAGGGTCGCTGTGTGGGTGGGACAGGGGAAACAAACTCGTTTGCTGTCGGAGGGGGTTTGAGCGAGCTATCCGGTCGTGGAGGGAGCAGCTGCGAGGAGGCGGGGATACCATGCGAAGTGCCGTTGGTCGTCGGCCTGGCGGCCGGCGTGGTTTGGGGAAGACGCGGTGCAACCTGTTCAATTACTTTGGCTGGGAGAGAGATACGTGGGTGTTTGCTAGCAAGCACATCATCGCGTATCTGCAACAGCTTCTGTAGGAAATCGGCCTCGCGAAGCACCTCAGTGGACACAGCGCTGGTGCCGTTCAGGAACGGTGGTGCTGTTGCGGCTGTCGACATGAATAGCTGGCAGACAATGTGCGCTGCGGCAGCTACAAGCTAGATCTCAGTATCAAACACCCAACGTGTGATGACGATCAAAAGTCGCGATACACAGGAACGAGCGATGCACGCTGTCGAGTTGCGGTGGTGGTGATGCGGTTGGGAAGCGACACGCCAGATTGAAGAAAACCATCGAGGGCGCGACGAACGACATCCACTGGGCGCGCTAACGTGCTAGTTGCGCTAGGCCCAAACGGATCGCGACTTATTCAAGGGCGCCCTTCACATTTTGACTCTTAACGATCAACCACAACTACAGAATGGCGGAACAGAATGAGAAGCCGGTGTTCTTCTTTGATATCGACAATTGTGTAAGTAAAGCAGGCGCACATATACAGTGCAATCAAGACACAAGGACTTGCTTCTGCGAGTCTTCAACCATTTGAAGTACGCATGAAGCCGTGCTCAGCGGTATCAGTGAGCGCGATGCTGTTCAATGGTTTTGCTCTATTGCCTGTTTGACTTTTTTTCTCAAACATCTGCTGACAATGGTAGCTTTATCCAAAGAGTACGCCTCTCAATCAATGATGCATACCTTACCACTGACTCATATAGGCCTCAAAATTCACGGCATGATGGCAGGACTGATTGGTGAGTGGATATTTTCCGTCACAGACTGTTCTGTGCGGACGAACTGGTATCTATGTTTGTTATATAACGGTGTGGCTGATTACATCACAGATAAATTCTTCGAGGACCACCTCAGTCTCTCCAAGGAAGACGCCAACGAGCTCCACTACAGGTACTACCAAGAGTATGGACTCGCTATCGAAGGACTTGTCCGGCACCACAAAGTGGACGCCCTGGAGTATAACAGCAAAGTTGACGATGCACTACCCTTGGAAGACGTCATCAAGCCGAACCCAGAGCTGCGCAAGCTGATCCAGGACATCGATACCAGCAAAGTGCGACTGTGGCTTTTCACTAACGCTTACATCACACATGGCAAACGTGTCGTCAAGCTACTCCAGATCGATGACCTTTTCGAAGGAATCACATACTGCGACTATGGATCGGACAAGTTCTTCTGCAAACCACATGCGGAAATGTACGAAAAGGTCATGGACGAAGCTGGAATCAAATCGAATCAGAACTGCTACTTTGTCGGTGAGTAGGTATAAACTCTGAACTTTCGCGACTAATTCGTGAAGACGATTCCTACATCAACTGCAAAGCGGCTCACGAAAGAGGATGGAAAGTAGCCCATCTGCTCGATCCGTCTGATCCAGCACCGCCACATCAAGCTTCAAAGTACCAGATCAGGAGCCTGATGGAGCTGCGCGACATATTTCCTGAGGTGTTCAAGAGTACCCAAGAGGCATAGGCAAAGCGTAGTACAACGATTCCATCAATGATCTCTAGGAAGATTGGGTTTCGCAAACCCGAGTGTAGCACATAGAGTCATGTGCCGCACAACAGCATGATTTCGAGTCAGCAGCATACCGATAAATTATAGATGCTCAAATATAAAAGAATTACCGAAGGAGATGAGTGGTGTCGATATCGTGAGGCTACCTTATCTTATCGGCCTAGAGCTATGAGCTTGAGCTCCACCCTTGCATCACACCCCTCTCGGGCCATTTGACGGCACGCGTATAGACACCAGCCTGATCCCTCCGAGTAAGAAGAGCAAAAGCGCATGAATGGATTCGCAGAGAGCGAAATACTATCAGACAATGTCGTCAGCATCCGCATCAAACGATGCGCTACCTCCCCCACAATCCTCAGCGTTACCTCCATCCCACGGCACACCCAACGCCAACTCTCGCGATACTCCTGACTGCTCACCTTCAGAACTGCCTTCTTCAGATACATCAAAAGTGCTGCCCCAGCGCAAACCCCTCCTCCGCCTCGAACTCCGCGACCTCTCCTCCGACGGCTCGCGCGCCTTCCTCCGCCTCATCCACGCCTCGCACGCGCTGCAAGATGCTGTCGACGCAGTCCTTAGGTATCTCTACAAGGACATGCACGCCTCATCCATACCGCCCACACGCTCCATAACGCTCGTCATTCGCGATCTCGAGGGCGTGGCGTACACAACTGGTCTTGAGCTCGACGACGACCACAAGGAGATACACTTCAGTACACAGCATATCATGCGCATCCCCGAGTCACAGCAGAAAGAAGAGACGCTAGGTGTTATCGTGCATGAGATGGTGCATTGCTGGCAGCATAGTGGGTTCGGGACTGCGCCTGTGGGCTTGACGGAGGGCGTTGCGGATTGGGTGCGGTTGAAGGCTGGGTATGCGCCGCCGCACTGGAAGCAGCATACCGACTGTGATTGGGATGCGGGATATGAGCGAACGGGGTACTTTTTGGAGTATTTGGAGAAGGAGCATGGTGCAGATGTAGTGAGGAGAATCAACGACGCAATGAGGGGATGCAATTATGATGCAGATAAGGTGTGGAAGGGGTGTTGTGGGAAGGGCGTTGAAGAGCTGTGGAAGGAGTACAAGAAGAGCGTTGATACTGCGAAGAGTGAAGTCAGCGGCCAAGAAAAGAGCGACGATAAGACGGAAGAGACGAGTGAAGGAGAGGCTGAGGAGAAGAGTGAAGATAAGACCCAAGAAGAGGACAAAGACGCCTCAGAGGTTCAGCAACTACCGCTCTACGAGGAGGACAAGACACCACGTGAAAAGGCACGACGAGGCGGCAACATGCACGTTCCGATTCGGCCGGGTGCATCGTCCTGAGGCCAATCCTAGGTTGTGAGCCGATCGAGTAGTCTGAGCTGTATCCGTCCTATTTGTGCATTGATACCTACGGACACTTCCGCCTAGCTACTTCCTCGGAACCCTCACCACTATACGCAGTCTGTCGGCTATCGGAAAGCCGTCTTCATCTGCGCCAACTAGTAGTTGTCGCATCGTCGAGAACACACCAAGGGTCGTGTTATTCTCAGACACGTCAGGCTTCTAACGCTTCTTTTTGTCTTTTTGATCTCGTCACTCAGCTGGCACGGAACTCTGGACCCATCAATAGGAAGGCTGAGCGAGCATGTTGTTTCAAGCCATGACTGTGGGAAGATGCGAACACTCCCTGACATCCTTCGCAAGCCTAGCTGTTGTATGCTGTGTTATTCGAGGACATGGAGTGGCTGATGGATTGGAATCACAAGGCGATTAGATGTGACACCGTCAGGGTAATAGCAGAACTATCCAAGAAAGAAAAAGAAGATCTTAAGTCAACGCTAGGACGCAGGTGCGAGTAAAGTGGGGGTGAGGTATGCACGTTCGGTCCTCAGTCATCCAAATGTCAACCTGGATACCTCAACAACCACAAAATCATACCACGAGATTAAAGAGACAAAAAAAAGCGTTAGAAGCCTGACGTGGGGCTCGAACCCACAACCTTGAGATTAAGAGTCTCACGCGCTACCGATTGTGCCAGCCGGGCTTGTTGTTGCTTGATTGATGAGAGAATTTGCAATTATCCACATCATATTCTACATTGCATACGTGTTAAAGCGAGTTTGACTGAACAGACTGACGAATTCTGCGCTTGGTTGTGCGGGACAAAATTTTACTAGATGTGGGTCCAGGGTCAGATGAACTTAGCGTTCGGCGTATCCAATTTTCGGTTCAACGCCACAATTGCTTTATGAAGTAATATCTCAAGATCGACAATCCGACTACTACTTCTGCATGCTAAAACATATCGCTCTGCTATATGCTAATGTACAATTAAGCCTCTGCTTCTTATAACCCCGGCCTCTACTTGTGTTCAAACTTCGAATGCTGCCGTAATACGAATGACCTCGGGGATGAGTCAGGCCTACAATAAAATCATCAAGTGTTTAACGGCTCACGCATCTTCAGTTCTTCATCGACAGAACGCAGACGAGGTCATTGACAGACTACACAACTTGGTACAGTCTGCACGTTCTCGCTTAAGATCGCTCAACTCATAGATCCAATGATACTGCAACTCCCTCCAGGATGCACTTTCATCAAGCCAAAGCAAGGGCTTCAGGCAGATGTCACCTACCGAATCAACCCTCTTATTTTCCAATCTATCTTCTCTGCAACGCAGCCCCTTCTATGGTTCGCTCCAGCATCTTTGCCTCGTAAGGCCTGTAATCTAACCATAAATAGACGCTTCTATACAATATTCCCTCTCGCATAATTGTATACAGTCTTTGCACAGCATTCTTTTCGCAGCATGCTAAAGAAGTCGGTCGCTATCGTTGGGGAAGCAGAGACCAGGCCCGTAGTCTGACGAGTAGTCGTCTGTCGAAGCCATGATATCGTCGATTGAGACGTCCGAGCCGTAATCGGATTGCTGGTCGATGTCGGCCCGAGCACTCTCCGCAGGAGCATCGACTACGCGGTGAAGGAAGCGGCCGGTCTACCTATCCTAACCTCCCCACTCGGAAGAGTCGAGACGGTAGGACGCGCCATGGGAGACTGTACAGGGCCGGCCCCTTGATGATGGAACGAGTGACTATGAAGAGTTGTGACGAGAAGTCATGCGGCGAAGGAAAAGATGCAAGGAACGGTGGGACGAGACGCGTCGGTGCTCCCAGCTAACGGTCCCTGCGCTGCACGTGAAGACGTGAACGAAGCTAGTCACATCCAACGCGTCGAAGCACGTAACCTTGATTTTTTAGGACGATAATGACTAGTAGACGTTTGACAAGAAAATCATCCGCACTGTCCCTTAACTCTAAGCTGCACACATAATGTGGGTTGACATTTTAGAGAGTGATGGTCCTTACTTGATCGGAATGGTCTTGAAAGATGATAAAAAGATGTACTTGAAGTTTTATTCGATGCACAGCTGTGAACGCCTAGGGACCCACTGGCAACGACACAGTGCTTTACACATCTAGAGTAGGACTTTCGGAGCAGCGCTTTCAACAGCCAAACTCATGTCTTTTTCAAAATAATGCAGTTGTCACAGACAGTAGGAGTGTGATTAAGCTTCTCAGAACACAGAAAGACACACCTGCATGTAACTGTCCAGATAGTAGCGCTGAATGAGTAGCAGTTGCTGAAAATCAAAGCGCGTAGTGGAATGGCAGGCGAAGAAAGAGCATAGAGTTGAATTGATATGACGAGAGAGGTGGTATGTAGAAGCATGAATGCATACTATTGTTCGCGTAGCGGAGCTCCTCCCTAAGGTCTGCGGTTCGCATTTGCGACTTACAGTCACCTGTGCTTTCGCATCCTTGCGAAAATCACGCCTCGCAACACAGCCCCTTCCATAGTTCGCTCCAACATCTCTGCCTCGCAAGGCACCCAATCTAATTGCCCTTCAATGGGAAGACGTGTGTGGCGGAGTAGATTACGAAAGCGTAAGCTCATTGCCAAGGTGATTTAGGGGGACCTAGCGGCGGGTTTAAGTGGGTAGGGCGGATGCAGCCTCATCCGCTGCTGACGAGTCTTGTTGTGACGTCTGTAGTGGTTTTCAGGCGGTGCATAAAGTGTGGGTGTTGATGCGAGAAGACGTGCAGCTGTTGGGCTATGGAAAGGTTCACGATCACTACTGCTGGATAGGGAGAACCACATGCAGTTGCTCCGTATCTGCGCGGATCAGTCGCGAAAGGTACCGTAGACTTTGGTGACGCCACACTGAACACCAAGTTCCGAGACGGAGCTTTTTGACCTTGAGCTGTCAACCTTTGACTACCTTACGGATTCTCTGGGTATCTCAATATCGGAAAAGCTCTTTTCAGTCTCTCGGTGCACTTACAGCATGCCGCAGACTCGACGCGGTGCGAAATCTGGCGCGGATGTTTCGCAACCAGACGCGCCCCAAAACAAGGAGAACGCTGTGACTAAGAATGATCTGAACAGTACGTTATTGTCTTAGTCAAGCGCGAAAGTCAAAAAGAGAAAACCATCACCAAATGTCACGGTTGAGGGCATCTCCTGCCTCACGTGCAGTGGCACCTCACCTCTGGTGAGACGATGCTGCCTTTCCTACACTAGCGCTGTTTACAGCCCATCATGTATATTTACTGTTCGTAGCTTCACTCAATACAACCTCAGTTCAATCCTTCAATTCTTCCTGCATATGCGCTGTTCCCACACCGCGACACCAAATCAGGGCCAAGTCTCGAGGAAACGAAAGAGTACAGGCACTTCTCAATCGGCTGCTGTGAAGAACAGGCGCAAAGGTACGGAGATGCATGCAGAGACCGAGGAGCAAGTCGTACATAAGCCGCGTCTTGTCACCCCAGACCTGGAATTCGACTATGATCGCTCACAGCTACGTGATCCGAGGCTCACACCGAGCCGCTAAGGACCCACGATACGAGGGGTTCGACATACCCGATGAAGTGAAAGCGCATCTTGGAAACACTCGCGAGATTCCAAAGCCAGAGAAGCCGTCTGGGCGACATAATGCCGCACAGAAAGACCAATTATTTACCGAAGAAGCACGTATCAACCCACTTCTGACGTTCCACAATTTACACCGCTGCTACTACAAAGGCCGCGACGGTTCTCCAACTTATGATGACGGTGGGTTCCAGCTGGATTACGACAAGGTTGCAGAATGGTTGAAACCACAACCTTACAACAGGCAAAAGATGATCCGCGGCATGGAACGAGCAGTCGCAGAAGCTCAACGTGACAAAGATCAAATTTAAAAGCTGTTCTTCGTGAAGATGCCGAAGAACCGTGAGTGTATGCGCTATGACGTCAAAGACTACATGTTAGATTATGTTTCCAAAGATTTCGGGATTCCATTCCATCAGGTTAAGCCCGAACAGGTCAAGATCTGGAGAGACAAGAGGTTTCAACCGGTGGAGTGCAAGGATTGGTAGGAAGAACCAAACGAGGAGGACGGAAAGAGGATGAGAAATTTGGAAGCGGGTGTATCGTTGCGGAAAGACATATGAGCTTCATACTTTTCCGTTTTTGTCAAGCATGTTGTACTTCAAGAGGAAGTCGTGGGCTAGCCGTAGATGGATGAGATCTCCATCATGATCTGGTGATGTGTGCAATGGGCCATCGGCAATATGCCTCTACAAAATGGAAGATGAAAGTATGAGGTGGCGTTGACCATAGACTACCGTTGAAAATGCATTGCTTATTCCTAAGTAGATTCTTTGTAAAGATTTGACATACGAGCCTGCGTTACGCAGGCTCGTATGTCAAGGGTATTTGCTTGCTCGTAAGTGGCTGTTCACTCATTGTTGTGGAACTCAGAGGAAAGGCACTCGAAAACATCCTCAATGGTCAGGAGGTATCGATGCAACTCATCTGTATAACAACCCAGATCACAGTGATGACTTTTGCAGTGACGCATGCAAGCATCCTTCAAGCCTGCATTTATACGATGCATCCTGACGGTAGTGCACGGTAGTAAAAGCTTGTCACTCGCCTACCCTGGTAAGGCGCACCACAAGGCATTTCCAACGTCAACTGCGCCTTCCAAACTGCATCCCGTTCCAATAACTAACACACCCAATTGACGCACCGCCCAAAGCACCCGCATTGCTAACTAGTGATACAGGATCCAATGCTGCATGTCCGCGCACCACGAACTGACTATTGCTTCCATGCAGGAGTCCCAACCCGACGCGATGCCGCTTACGGCAGGCCATCGTAACGGTCGGAAACAGCTCCACAACGGCGCAATACATGGCCTCCCTTTGACCCGAAGGCCGATGCTCGCGGATCCTTGACGAAAATCCAGGCACATGTTTCACTTGATGACGGAACATGATCCCCGCGATCATCATGTCAGACAGCTGAATAGCAGGTCTCGCATATCGGACCCTAACCGTCCACGGGTGCTTACAGTGTAAGCTCCGAGTCTATTTCTCTACGCCCCTACGCACACTCTTTCACCGATCGTGCTGGGGTGCGATGAGTTCAGTTTTCGGCCACACTTTGTGCCACAGGTGGCTGGAACGCCGCGCGCAACTCCATGCACGGTATAGGGCATGTCTGATGTCGGAACCTCCGAGACTGAGGTGTTTACCAGCGGTTTGGAAAGAGAGTATTGACGCGTGGTGGCCAAGGAAACGAGGTCAGAAGACTGGTGGTTCGATTTGAACCGCATGATTCGTGTGAACATGCGGAGTTGATCGCGATCCAATGGTTCTGCATGTTGGCCATAACGAAATCCTGCACAAGTTTAGGCTTGGTACCGTGTATGCAGGCTCGACGTGGGCTATTACTACCGGCATTCTACTAAGGCGGCATTCTGCAGCAATAGTACGCAGTAGTCTCAGGCACGGTGCGAGTTTGCGTCTTGCGTCACCTTCGTTCACACACTTTGATATCAGTCATCACGCCTTCAAAACACGTCCAAAGTCGGCTTTCAGCACACGGGCACGCGCATTACGAATACAGAACAGATGACTAAACATCGCAAAGCACCACAGTCGTCGATGTCACCACAGACTTTGACTATCATGAGTCGTACCATATAAGCGTGCA